ATGCACCCACACCTGAAATGTTTACCAAGCAATTTCTAGGGCTTTACATTTTCACCAGCACTTGGTGTATTCAGACTTCTTAATTTTTGCATCCTGGCCAGTGTAAAACAGTACCTTTTTATGGTCTTAATTGGCATCTTCCTGGTTACTACTGAGGTTGAGCACTTTTCATGTTTTGTTTACTTTCTTACTATTCCTATTTCCTCTTTTTCTTCTTTGTCCATTTCACTGGGTTTTCTGTCTTTTCCTTTTTGATTCATAGAGGATCTTTTTTTTTTTTTTTAACATTTTATCCATTTATTCATGAAAGACACAGAGAGAGAGGCAAAGGGAGAAGCAGGCTCCCCACGGAGCAGGGAGCCTGATGCAGGACTCGATCCCAGGACCCTGGGATCATGACCTGAGCCAAAGGCAGACGCTTAACTGACAGTCACTCAGGCGCCCGATTTATAGGGGATCTTAAAATAATCTTAATTAAATCTCGTGTTTTAAATCTTGTTCCTAATGTGTATCTATCACCTCTGTGTTCATCAAGATTTCGGTCTGGACCTCTTGGAGAAGAGGCCCAAGTGGCTAGCCAGTTCATTGCAGACGTCATTGAAAATTCACAGAGAGGGCGCCTGGGTGGCTCAGTTGGTTAAGTGACTGCCTTCGGCTCAGGTCATGGTCCTGGAGTCCCGGGATCGAGTCCCGCGTCAGGCTCCCTGCTCGGTGGGGAGTCTGCTTCTCCCTCTGACCCTCCCCCCTCTCATGCTCTCTCTCTCTATCTCATTCTCTCTCTCAAATAAATAAATAAAATATTAAAAAAAAAAAAAAGAAAAGAAAATTCACAGATAATTCAGGAAGAAGACACGCATTTCTCCAGGAAAGCTTTCTTGGGTTCTGTATTCTGATATCATTTGCCTTGACTATGATGGGAACATCTTGGATGCCTGTACAGTTGCTTTGTTAGCAGCTTTAAAAAAAATGTACAGGGGAAATCTTGCCATTTGCAACAATGTGGATGGAACTAGAGGGTTTTATGCTAAGTGAAATAAGTCAATCAGAGAAAGACAATAATAATATGATTTCACTGATATGTGAAATTTAGGAAACAAGGCAGAGGATCATAGGGGAAGAGAGAAAAAAATGAAACAAGACAAAAGAGAGAGAGAGACAAACCATAAGAGAGACTCTTAATCATAGGAAAAAAACTGAGGGTTGCTGGAGGGGAGGGGTGTGGAAGGATGGGGTAACAGGGGATGGACATTGGGGAGGGTATGTGTTGTAATGAGCACTGGGTATTATATAAAACTGATGAATCACAGACCTGTACCCCTGAAACAAATAATATGTTATATGTTAATTAATTGAATTTAAATAAAAAATTATTTTAAAAAATAAAAATAAAAAATGTACTGCTGCCAGAAGTTACTATAAATGAAGAAACTGGGTTAGCAGAAGTTAATTTAAAGAAGAAAAGCTATTTGAATATTAGAACTCATCAGTTTTTTTACTTCTTTGTGTCTCGTAACTGCTCAGTTCATATAGTCCTGAAGTTTAGCTCCAGTCTGCCCACTTCTGCCTGGTTTTTATGTGATGGAAATAGGTGTATCATTTTTTTTTTTATTTATCTTTTCACTTTCTTTGTGGTGTCTTATTGATAATCAAAAGTTATTCATTTTAATGCAGTGAATTTATCAAGATCTTATTTTTAGTGCTTTCTGTATCTTGTTTTAAAATGTGTCCTTAACTGGAGGTCAAAAAGATAATTTATATTGCTTCTGAATGTTTTTAAAGCTTTGTTTTTTACATTTAAGTGTTCATTGGATATGGAATTAGTTTTTGCATGTGGTATGAGGTAAGGATCCAATTTAATTTGTTACATATGCATAACCAATTGCCTCAAAATTATTCATTGACAATACATTTCTTTCCATAATGATCTGAAAATTCACTTGTGTCATATTTCAAGTTTACATATATGTGTAAGTCTGGTTCTCTTTTTTGTTCCATTCGTTCTATTCCTATGCCAATACTATACCTTGTAATTATTATTCTCATAATATATCTTGATATCCAGTTTGGAATAGTCTCCATTTTTCAGGATCATCTTTATTTAGTACTGGATGTGAGATCTGACAGCTTGGTTAGATTCAGATTAATTTTTGGCAAAAATTCTTACTGATTGATCTTTTGTGCTTTCTATTGGCGTAAGGATTTAAGGTAGTGGTTGCCTTCAATGAAAGTGAGGGTTTTTCTGTTTTTCTATCCATTGTTGCATAACATCACAGATCCCTGGATTATGTGTAAATCAACCACAGTATAATTCCCTTTTTAAAAGGATTTATTTATTTAATTGAGAGAGAGAGAGAGAGTGTGTGTGCACACAGTGGGGGAGGGGCAGAGGGAAAGAGAGAATCTCAAGCCGACTCGCCGCTGAGCAGAGAGCCCAACACAGGGCTTGATCTCATGACCCTGAGGTCATGACCTGACCCAAAATCAAGAGTCAGATGCTTAACCAACTGAGCCACCTAAGTGCCCCAGTAATTATCCCTTTTGATGTAAATTATCTCAAAATTGACCAGTGTCATTTGGACACAATCCCATAGTCATTGAGTATTTCTTTACTTTCAAGCATAAAATGCCCATGTTCATTTGTACTTTTCCTGTTACGGACTGACAGCTCCTCTAGTTCAGTCCTAGTTTCAGTTTATCTCCTTATTGTTCTAATATTCAGCTATATCTTCCTTTATATACTTTGGGCATTTCCTCTAGATTTTTGTTGTTTTTCCAAGCTCAGGTATGCATTTTTTTTTTCAGCTCTAAAGATTTACTTAGTGCCAGCTACGGGCCAGATGCTGTTCTAAGGGTACAGAGGTTGACACAGCAAAATAATCTTTGATCTCAAGAAACTTACTTGGCAAGAATGCTTGTTATATTAGCTATGCATTTTAATGGATATTGTGATCTGGCAATTTTAGATACTGTGAAGGTCTTAAGGTAATCTAGCTATGAGTGATAATTTATAAAATTTCATATAGTTTTTTATTATTTATTTATTTTTTTTAATTTTTTAAAGATTTTACTTATTTATTTGACAGAGAGAGAGAGAGCGAGAGAGGGAACACAAGCACGGGGAGTGGGGGAGGGAGAAGCAGGCTTCCCGCCGAGCAGGGACCCCCCATGCGGGGCTCGATCCCGGGACCCTGGGATCATGACCTGAGACGAAGACAGTCACTTGACCAACTGAGCCACCCAGGCGCCCCCATATCATTTCTTAGAATGAATATTTGGAAAAAATAGAAAATAGAAGGTTCTGTTAGGAAAGAATTGCAGTATTCTAGGTATGAAGTGGTGAGATGAATAGAAGTGAGAATGGAGGAAAAAAGCTGGATTGCAGGAGTATCTTGAAGGAAGAAATGATAGAATTTTGTAAGAGTTTAATAAGAAGGCATGACAGGGAGGAAGATGTTAAATTAGCTCCAAATATTCTTCCCTGGAAGACAGAGAATGACTACAACACTGACAGAAATAGTGTAGCTGATGTGAATGGGTAGGCAGATAAAAATAATACCTCTTGGCAGGTATGGACTGTGTCTCTATATTTAACATCCCATGCACTGCACTGCATTTGAAAGAAACAATAAAAACAACTACAGAGACATGGCCCAAGGTGAGTGAAAATGTAGAACTAAAAGGGAGTAAGGGACAAGATTACAGGTGAGGAAAGGGAGTAGAGGTGTTTTCTTTGTAATCCTAGGCCTGGTTTGGTGTTTGGCACAAAGCTGACCCTCAATTAATATTTACTGAATAAATGAATGTAACGCATTTGCACAGATGTGATAGTTGAGCCCATGGGCACAGAACTGCAAGCAGAGGATATTTACTTGCTAAGGTTCAAAACCAGCTCTTCTTTCCTGTGGCCTGCATTGCCAACAGTTGCCTGCCTCAGAGGAAACAATTCCAAAGGTACCTTGAGTTAGGGATAATCACTGTAGCAGTTGGCATTTCAGGAGCTAGTTTGTATCTATGTGTGAATAGACCTGGGGAGGGGGGCGGGGGGGAATGGGTAGTGCATTCTAGAAGTGGAAGTCACAGATTTGCCCTGAATCAAAAGTGGTATTAATGGTATTCATTTTGTATGAGGGTCAGACCATCTCCACAATTAAGAGCTTCTCAGCGCAATCAGTGCAGTTCCTTTTCCGCCACGCCTCCAAACACAAATGTCACTTTACAGGTTATCAGCCGAGGGCTGAGCTGCTCTACAGCGTTCACTAATTAAAAGGTTAATGGATTCCCTTTCTCTTTTTTTAAACTAAGACCTGATATTCCAATTCGGCTGACTGGGATGACTCTTCCAATTTCCATCCTCAAGGGGGCGGTGATCAAGAAACCATTTCTTGACCACACACGCCGAAATCTGCCGCAAAAACCTTCACGCTCTGCTCCTGGGTGCGTCAGATTAATCCCAGGGCTCAGCACCTCACACTGAGCCTGCGCATACGGCGCGGCGGAGGGGGCGCATGCGCCTTACGGCGGGGCTGGCGGGGGCGGCTCTGGGCGGGTCTGGGTCCCTCCAGTGGTTTGGGGCCTAGGCGCTGTGGGAGGAGCCGGCGGCCTCACCGTGGTAACCGCAGCGCCGCTGCCCCGCCTTGCAGGCCTCTGGACTGTCATCGCCTTTGGGTGTGGGGATACTTTGGCCACCGTCCCCGGAAACAGCTCCGCCGGTTTTCTCAGATACCCCCATCCTCCCCAAGCTGCCGTCGCCGCCGCCATGCAAGGGGAGGACGCCAGATACCTCAAAAGGTGACCACTCCCCAAGGCTCAGCCCTTCCTTCCTTCCCGGGCCCCGAAGATATTCTTAGAGGTCCTTGGGTTGGCTTTGAGATGTCACTGGGCAAAGCTAGAAGCTTAGAGGAGGGGTGGAAGACGGGGAGAAGTCACGGAAAGGAAAGGGGAAAGGTGCATTGGGAAAAGAGGGCAGGGCCCTTCGGGGGCGAGGCTCCCCAGCCTCTTACCTGGCTCAGCGGGACCCTGACAGCATTGAAGATGGTTTCCTTGCTACGTACATCACATTGTTCACGGGAGAAGGGCGAAGGACCGAGTAAACCGCGTCTTCCTCCCTTCCCAGCCCCCCACTTGGACTCTCCATTTTTCCTTAGTAGAATAAATCCCTTGGGAGCCCGGGAATGAAGTCTTCTGGTGCCTCTGCTGTCTGTCTCCTGTTTGGGGTTCATCGTTTTTGAAACGATGAAGAGAGAAGTGGCTTTTAATTAATAGGAGTCTGGGCTGAGATGGTTCCTTCCAGCGTATTTCTGCTCTCCTCAACTATTTCATCCATTTGACTGCCGTGTATACAGTATAATTTTTGTAGGAGGTTCATAATTATCAAGAGGTCCAGGAGCTTGTCGTGGAACGGGCCATAATATATTTAGCTTAAAAATATTTGTAGTACCGATTACTCTTTAAAGAAAATTGTATCTGTTGGGATTATTTATTTGACTCCTGTCAAATATAAGATCATCCCTGATGAAAAGGATACCTGTCACTGGACCAAGAGTTAGCAGTGATCCAATAGAAAACAGTCTTAATTAGGACTCTCCATTTTTAGTTAAGTCACTGTTACTGATAGGTTAAAGTACACAGGGAGAGTCATATATATTTTTTTGGACACAGTTTCCTTATTTAAATATGGGGCAAATATTACTTTATGAGAGATATGCCGAAAATACTGAAAATACTTTTAAAAGATAAAACATGCATATAATGTGGTGGCATTATTTCAAGTCGTGATATACTTTTACTGAATATGTTCATCCTGGCTTGACACGGCCTTAATCATCACAGAAAGATCTTCTAACCTTTAATCGATTCTTAAAAGGGATTCAAACGATTTTAAGATCAGTCAGTCAACCAACTGCACTGCCTTTGCAGGTCTGAGGCGTTTATTGCCTGCCTTTCTCATTGTATATGTATATATCGGAAACTGTCAACCAGGTTTTATCAGTAAAATTTTTATAGCAATGTGTAGTCATGACTAGTATATAGTATTTGTTTCCTCACCGAATTTTGCTTACATTGATATTTTAAAGTATCTTGATTGAAAATTTTATGACAGGGGACACCTGGGTGGCTCCGTCCGTTAGGTGGCTGCCTTTGGCTCAGGTCATGATCCCAGGTCCTGGGATTGAGTCCTGCATCGAGCCTGCTTCTCCCTCTGCCTGCCATTCCCCCTGCTTGTGCTCTTGCTCACTCTCTCTCGCCTGCACTGTCTTTCTCTAGCAAGTAAAATAAATAAAATCTTTTTTTAAAAAAATTTAAAAATTTTACGACAGAAGAAGTTTGCATTGCTTATTGCTGACATATAATCATACAGGCCTGATGGATTATGATGTCTGGCAGAACCTTCCATTTTAATTATTGGTTCTTAGATAATGATTACATATATTCCTTTTGTAAATTTTTTAGATTTCGTTTTCAAAAGGATGGTAACATGTTTTCAATCTAATAGATTCACTCTAATTTTAATTAGCTGATTTCAGTGGTTTCATTGTAGTTATCACTGAGGAATCTCTAATCTCTTTATGTTTAAATGTGTAGCAGATTATAGAATCTAATCCAGTTCCATTTTTTGTTCTGCTACCAGTTTTGATTCAGTAGTGCTTAATGAATACCTAGTATATGCCTACCATTGTTCTGGTCACTGGAGAAATGATTAAATGGACATAGTTCATGTCCTCAATCAGATATACACAAACACAGACAATTATTTGTGATTTTGGGTTTTTTAGCCTCCTCTTAAAACTCTCTAATGGCTTTCCATTGCTTTTAGAGTTAGAGCACCTACCTTTTCAGCTTTCTCTCTCTTTGCTTCCCTCCCACCCCCAATAATTTTCATACCTGAGCCTTACAGAAATAACTTCTTTTAGATCTCTGTGTTTCAGTGTTAGGTTCCAAATGCCCTTCTCATTGTCTGGAACTTGCCCTGTTATTCACCTAGCTAACTCCTCATTTTTCCTATTTTTGCTTAAATGTCACTTTTTCCAAAAAGTCTTTCCTGAGCTGCTATTTTCTCATCCCACAATCCACAATCCAGGTCAGATATACCTGCTAGGTTCTCATGATACCAAATACCTTGTCTTTACCCACTCTTACTAGTATATTGTTATTGTTTTGTGTTTCCTTCCGGTCTATAAAATCCAAAAGGCTAAGGAGCTATATATCTTACTTCTCATTGTATCCTCAGCACACAGCACAGTGCTTGGAACATAAGTACTCACTACATAGTTATTAAATGAAGTGAAAATAAGGCTACAAAGAAAATGGGCCAAATCATACAGGAATTAGGAGCCATAGTAAAAAGTTGAGAATTGTTAAAGCAGTGGGAAACGATTGAAGGATTTTAAGAGTAAATGGCATTCATTCATTCATTCATTCAATAGTTATTTGAAATTCTATCATGTAAAAGTCACTCAGCTGAGTGATTAAAAGTATTGGATGAATGATACATACTTTCTCTGCTTTATGGTGCTTGTAATGTAGCAAGGAATACAGACTTTAAATAATATATAATCAGAAGTAATTATTGTATTTATGATAAGTGCTATAAATATATGATAAGCAAAATCAATATATGTCCTTTGTGTAAAGCTTTTTTTTTGTATACTATATAATATTTTCAACATCCATCTATGTTTTAGCACTCATTAGTACTTCATTCCATTTAATAGCTGAATGATAATTGATTGTGTGGATATAGCACATTTTGATTATCCATTCATCTACTGATGGACATTTAGAGTGTTTCTATCTATTTGCTACTGTGAGTAAAGCTGCTTTGAACGTTCCTGTACTAGTTTTTGTTTCAATACCTTTTTTCATTCTCTGGTATATCCCTAGTTGTTGCAGGGTATTGTACTCATTCTATATTTATCTTACTGAGGAACCACCAAACTGTTTTTCACAGTGACAGCACCATGTTACATTCCCCCCAGCAGTGTATGAGAGCTCCAATTTTTCGAATCACCAACAGTTGTTATTTATTTTTTTAAATTATGGCCATTCAGTGGATGTGAAGTAGTATCTTATTGTGGTTTTGATATGCATTTCTCTAGTTACTAGTGACATTGAGCAATTTTTCATATGCTTCTTGGCCTTTGTCTATCTTCTTCGGAGAAAAGAGTTCTTTATATGTTCTAGATCCTAGACTCTTATCAGAAAAATGGTTTGCAAATATTTTGTCCCATTCCGTGGTTGTTTTTTTCATTCTCTTCATAGTATCCTTCCTTATGCAAAAGTTTTAAATCTTGATGAAGTCCAATTTAATTTTTTCTTTAGTTGTTTTTGATACCATTATTTAAGAAACCATTGGCCAAATAGTTAATTTCTGCTTTAGTTTCCCTTGCCTCAGGAGACCTATCTAGAAAGATGTTGCTAAAGCTGATGTCAGAGAAATTATTGGATATCCACACATAAAGGAATGAAATTGGACCTTTACTTTATACCACATAATTAACTCTAGGATTCTTAGGGTTCATATCTCACATTTAGGTCCTTAATCCACTTTGAGTTTATTTTTGTGTATAGTGTAAGAGAGTGGTCCAGTTTCATTCTTTTGCATGTAGCAAAATAAAAAGCTTCTGCACAGCAAAGGAAACAATCAACAAAACTAAAAGACAATCTACTGAATCAGAGAACATATTTGCAAACAACATATCTGAAAAAGGGTTAGAATCCAAAATATATAAAGAACTTATACAACTCAATACCAAAAAAACAAGTATTCAAATTAAAAAACGGACAGAAGACATGAACAGACATTCTCCAAAGAAGATATACAGGTGGCCAAAAGACACATGAAAAGATGCTCAACATCACTCATCATCAGGGAAATGCAAATCAAAACTACAATGAGATACCACTTCACACCTGTCAGAATGGCTAAAATCAAAATCATAAGAAACAAGTGTTAGCCAGGATGTGGAGAAGAAGGAACGAATCTTCATGCATTGTTGTTGAGAATGCAAACTGGTGCAGTCACTGTGGAAGACTGTGGAGGTTCCTCAAAAAGTTAAAAATAGAACTACCCTATGATCTAGTAATGCAATACTAGGTATTGATCAAAAAAATACAGAAACACTAATTCAAAGGGATAGATAACCCTATGTTTATTGCAGCATTATTTATAATAACCAAATTATGGAAGCAGTTCCAGTGTCCATTGACAGGTGAATGAATAAAGGAGAGGTGGTGTATATATATATATACATACACAATGAAATATTATTCACCCACCAAAAAGAATGAAATCTTGCCATTTGCAACAACATGGATGGATCTGGAGAGAGTCCCTCTCTCTCTTCACTTATGCCAAGTGAAGTAAGTCAGTCAGAGAAAGACAAATACCATATGATTTCTGTCATATGTGGAATTTAAGAAACAAACGAATGGAAAAAAGAGAGACAAACTGAGAAACAAACACTTAAATATAGAGAACAAACTGATGGTTACCAGAGGAGAGGTGGGTGAGGGAATGGGTGGAATAGCTGATGGGGATTAAAGAGTACACTTATGATTAGCACTGGGTGATGTATAGAATTGTTGAATCATTATATTGTATCCCTGAAGCTAATATAACACTGTATATTAACTATGCAGGTATTAAAATTTAAAAATTAATTAAAAGAAGAAACCATTGTCACATCCAAAGCCATGAAGATTTGCCTCTATGTTTTCTAAGAGTTTTATCATTTTAGCTCTAAAATTTGTTTTTGATCCATCTTGTGTTAATTATGTGGTATAAAGTAAGGGTCCAATTTCATTCTTTTGCGTGTGGATATCTGGTTGTCCTGGCACCATCTGTTAAAGGGATCAATCTTTCCTCAGTGAAAGATCTTGCTACCTTTGTTGAAAATCAATTGATATTAGATGTAAGGGCTTACTTCTGGACTCAATTCTATTACATTGATCTATATGTCTATTTTTATACTAGTACTTCACTGTTTTGATTACTGTAACTTTGTAGTATATTTTGAAATTGGAAAGTGTGTCTTCCAACTTTGTTCTTTCTCAAGATTGTTTTGGCTACTGAGGGTCCCTTGTGTTTCCGTATGAATTTTAGGATCCCTTTTCCATTTCTGTAAAAGAATATGAACAAGGGGTGTCTGCCCATTAAT